ATTCCAACTTTAGTTATTTATCCCTGAACGAGGTTCTGAATTCCAACTTTAGTTATTTATCCCTGAACGAGGTTCTGAATTCCAACTTTAGTTATTTATCTCTGAACGAGGTTCTGAATTCCAACTTTAGTTATTTATCCCTGAACGAGGTTCTGAATTCCAACTTTAGTTATTTATCCCTGAACGAGGTTCTGAATTCCAACTTTAGTCATTTATCCCTGAACGAGGTTCTGAATTCCAACTTTAGTCGTTTATCCCTGAACGAGGTTCTAAATTCCAACATTAGTCGTTTATCTCTGAACGAGGTTCTGAATTCCAACATTAGTCGTTTATCCCTGAACGAGGTTCTGAATTCCAACATTAGTCGTTTATCCCTGAACGAGGTTCTGAATTCCAACTTTAGTATCAAATTGTTTACTAAAGTTTTTGCCTATTTTAGGTACATATTGAATTTAATGTGAGAAGATTAATAGCTCTTTCAGTAAATTTCTGGGATGTTATGTTAGACATATGTTGTTACATAGAACTACAGAGAAACCCAGTACATCTATGTATGTGTATAAATATCCAAGAAGTGCTCCAAAATCTTGAAGAATAGTATTTTACCACAGGTCTTTTATTTTACTTCATTCATGATGGAAAAGAAAGACCAGTCTTTGAAAGCACTCACATTTCAGGTCACTTTTGGATTGTTATCCACAATACCATGTTTCTTCAACATTATTGCTGCATATATTTATATATACAAGCTTATGAGTGATAATTATGTAACTACAAAAATACATAACTTATGAAAACACGGAAAGCATTCTTAGAAATTTAATCACACACCCTAGGTGACCCCTGTGTATTTAAGATAAGTTTATTAATACATTAGAATAGGTTTTTTTTTAATTGGCATGTTAGTGAGTATATACTCTTCTTATTATTATTTTTTTTTTTGTCAGTTTCCAAGTCTTTCCTATCTCCAACTTCCAGGAAAGAAAGCGTTTAATAACATGAGCCGACAGTTTCTAGAAAAACGTAAACTTCTTCTCAACCAGTATCTTCAGAGGCTGCTTGGTCAAAATGTTTTTACAGAATATCCAAAACTAATAGATATGGTCTCATGCTTCTTAGAGCCTGGTCTCTACGAGAAAGAAAAACGACCACTTTCAAAAACAGTAAGTTTTGTTATTGTTGTTTCTTAAAACGTAAATAAACTCTGAAAATGTTTACAACACAATTTTGTACCATAGTTTTTTTTTTACTCCTTTTGGAATTTATATTTTGAAACTTAGAACAGGGTTTTATGACCTTTGTCCTATAGAGGGTCACAGTATAGGAAATTGGAACATTGGAGTGCCATACTTTATTATTTACTTGATATACTGGAATGGCATTTAAGGTTTATTTGTGATTACAATTTCATTAATATGTAAATTTGAACTTAAACATGTGATTCATAATAAGTGTGGAGACTCGATAAAGTCTCTCATGGGATGAAATGTTGCCTGTGTGCTGATCTTGAAAATACGTGGATTTAAAAAATGCAAGGGATAGATGAGCATCTACAGGAGTTAGAAGGAGGCAGTGAACATTAACCATGAGAGTCCCAGTAGGTTAAGCATGCTTGAAGGACCCAGTGATAGATGAGCATCTACAGTAACGCTTAACCTACTGGGACTCTCATGGTTAATGTTCACTGCATCCTTCTAAATGCTTGAAGGAACCAATGATAGATGAGCATCTACAGGAGTTAGAAGGGCTTAACCTATTGGGACTCTCATGGTTATTGTCCACTGCATTGACTATCCCTTTTCTGAAAGCTCTGGTAATATTTTGTGAAATGTTGTTGTTAGTTCTGACTTTTTTAACATCCTTTTATCATCTTGCATAACAGTATTGTTAGCCCAATGTGCACATGTGGGGAGACAAAGTGAGCAAGCCACATTCTTTTACACAGTAGTATAATGTATTTGTCAGAGTTATCAACCATACATTTTACCCTAAATTGATGATTTAATGACTCTCCATGATAGTAAAAAGTACATACCAGATACAATATATAGGGATACTGAAAATACAGTAGATATGTATTTTGGAGGTTATGCAAAAGCAATATGGAAACTGTACGATGGACTCTGACTTCTCAGAGCCTGATTCAAACTGATCATCAATTCACAGACATTTCTTCAGTACAAATACCTTTGTAACCCAGCTGATTTTTTTGTCTATGAAAACAAAAAAAGTAGAAAAAAAAATTTTCCCACTTTTTTGTTTTCAATTTCATTGTACCACACCAGTATTTTTTATTAGCTGATTTTATGTGTGTACAACAGACTTGTACATTTTACTAAAAGCTTGCCACATTTCATATAGATATCCTTAGTAGATTTGGAAGTATAGTCATCATTCTTTCCAAGTTTTTGGTGGACTTGTACTGCTAGAAACCAGATTTAAATACCTGTGGAGGGCAGAGCACAGATAGCCTTTTGTTTAGCTTTGTGCTTAACAATAAACAACAACAACGTTATTCTTTTTCCAACATTTAACTGGTCCAATTAATTGAGCCTGTACACATTCAGGTTATTCTTTTACAGGAAGCATTTATCTCAAAACTTATTGGTTATGATAAATAATTGTAAAGATGTTTATTTGAATATGCTTTATATCGGATATTAAACTACCATAATTTGTCTTTTGTTACTCTTCTTGAAGGTTGGAACTTTGGTTAATCCTCTCAGATCTTCTGTTAAAACTATGGGCAATATTGTCAAGACAATGCCTGACAACCTTATTGATGGACTGAAAGATGGACTGGTTAAAGTGCTTGGAGGTCGTTTCTCCCCGTCTCTGAACCCTGTGCTTCCTGACAGTGGAAAAGTGGCTGCTGGAATTGATGTGGAGGTAAGGTCAGACCATACAGATGAAAGAGATATATAAATACACATTAAAAACTTATCACAATATCAGTAAATTACATAGATTAGTTTTACTGCTTACACTAAGTTTAATAGAATACACAGATTAGTTTTTTTTCTTGGTTAAACTAAGGAACACTCCAAAATTTTATAGTCACAGCACCTTTTGGAGGTTTTACTCCTCTCTATCGTAAAAGATCAGTATAAAGAGTCAGGTCCTTTCTAAATTAATGAAGCTTGGGTACAAACTCGGCTCATTCTGTTTTTAAAAGGAGAAACGTAGCGGTTTAAGGAAGAAAAATGTCACATTAAAACTTCAGTCTGTACAAGTTCTTATACAGATACTGTATGATCTTGTTTTAATTTTTTAGTCTACTTATCATTGTGAACAAAGAAGAAAAAATTTTGCAATTAACATTTTCACTGTGGCTGGGACATATGTTTCCCATTGTCATTCAGAATTGCCATGTGTGATGTATGGGAATAAAATGAGTTGGAAAGTACTTACTATCATCCCACCTAATGTTGGTATATGATTTCCCTGACTGTTTCTCATTCAGCCCTTCAATAACCAACAATATGATGAAGTAGAATGTACAACAACTGTTTGCCAACTGTGCCCGCATCGCTAGAGTGGGAAGTAGTAACCCTAATTACTATGTAAATATGCTTGGTGCGCTTGACTCGGATAGTTTAGAAAATAGTGAAAGTGAGTCAAGTGGTGTTCAAATGTGTGATGATGAAGAAGCAATGAGACAAGAGGATACTAGCTCCCCATCTAGTTATGATAACTAAGATGATGGACCTGGACGAAGCAGAGGAAGGCATAAACAGTGTCGACAATGGGAAACATTTGTCCCAGTCGCCATGTGAGGGTGTTGGAACACTTGGAAATATACATCCCAGTTGGTCGCCATGTGAGAGTGTT